AAGCACAGCGCACGCAGGCGTAGCACGCCTCGCCGTTCCTGTTTCTGCTGACCCATGTTGTTTCTTCTCATGTTCCCCCCACTCATACCAGCATTTTGGTAGCCGCACTCTGCATCAGGACAGACTTATTCGTATTCGGCAGCGCTGTGCCTCGCATAATTCAAAGCATGTACCATACAGCTTCATGACTTTTCTCCAAATACATTGTATATTACCCAAGTCTCGTCTGAGATGACAAAACTCGTACGATCATCACCGTTGCTTCTGCATGACAGTTTGAATGCTGGACATTAAGTAGCCGGTGAGAGCTTGCCTCCCAGAGGATATTGAATGATCCTGATTCCACGTCGCCGCGGAGAACAGAGTTACATTCGGTCGTAAAGACACCGAACATGCACAAGACTAAGATAGTTTTTATACAAGGAGTACTGTCGGTGGGTATCCTCGCCGCGGGGTTCGTTGCCCCCCTTCCCGCACAACGCGAAGCTATTTGGTGAAAGCGCGGATGATCTTGGCCGATATGTGAAGGAAGAAGATGGAAGCAATGAAAGAGAGGGAGAGGACAAGCACAATAAAGGGGTCGCTAAGGGACAAACAGAGATGTTAGGCCAGTCACACGTTCTAAGAATCATGCCACGCACACTCGAATCCCAGGTGAGTCGTCTGTGTACAGCTTCAACATCGTGTTTGAGGAACCACCAGCACCTGCCGCACGGGTCGAGTTGGGCTTGGAGACCTGAGTAGAGCCTGCTGCTCGCCGGCTGTCGAAGAAGTAGCTCAACAGATGATCGTGACAGAAGCGAGGGGTAACGTACCGAACCTGCGCACCGGGCGGTTTGGCAACGCCAGAAGCGGCCGGACGAGCGACGGGACGGGACGACTCTGAGTCAGACTATGCAGCAGACATAATCAGGACTTTGTTTGACAAAAAATACAGGCGCTGTGAAGGCGTACCATGGCAGACGAGGTGAACGAGAACGAGAGGATGTGCTGGCAGCCACGACCGACGTGGTGACGCCTCCGCGTGGCCACGTGACCATAAACGCCGCCCCGATATTCAGCTGCGCTCTCCACCTGATTGGATATATCCATTCACCACAGCAGTCATGTCGCTGGTATAGTCCACATCTTAGAAACTACAGAAATTGTACTGAAGCTTTCTAGATACATGCATTGGTTGCCCGCGGCCCGACCGTCCTGGCAGAGCACCAAAGCGGTACGCGAGACTTTTCGCAAGGTGCGCAGCACAGAAACCTCAGAAACGCAAGACGAATGGCTGATATCCGCGGCCAGCCACACAGACCATACTCTCCAAGATACCCCCGAACAACAGCAAGCTGACCTATGTCTGGGAACAGTTTCTATTCCACTACGTCTCGGAAGGAGGATTCATTTACCTCGTTATGGCGGATGATTCTGCTGGAAGGTAAGTTCTTTGTAACTGTCGTGAGTTTCTAACATTCAGAATGGCTGCAGACGTATGCCCTTTACTTTCCTAGCCGAACTCCAACGCAAATTCACTAGCACCGCACAACCGTCATCATCCTCCGACGACACCCCCGCGTATGCGCTCCAAGGCACGTTCGGCCCCGTCATTGCCCAGCTCATGGAACAGTACAACACGTCGCCGCCGACTGACGAGCTCGCGCGTGCACAATCTGAGCTTGCACAAGTGAAGGATATTATGGTGCAGAACGTAGAGCAGATCTTGTCCCGCGGCGAGCGGATCGAGCTTCTCGTGGATAAGACGGATAACATGGCCAGCCAAGCGACTGCTTTCAGGCGAGGTGCCAGGACGGTTCGGCGTAGCATGTGGTGGAAAAATACGAAGATTCTGTCTCTTAGCGTCGTCGTCGGTCTGGTGCGTACATGGTCCATCATATCAGCCTTCTTGCGCTCACGTCATCTATCACAGTTCCTTCTCTGGTTAATCATTGCTCAGTTCTGCGGCGCTGGTCTCAACCAGTGCTCTACCAAGTCATAGCTCCCCTTCCCTGTACAATACTCACGGCTCGACGTAGCCCTCTAAATCGAAGATTGGGTGTAAATATTATCATTATTGTATCATGCAAAAGAACCAAGAGATGATGTCAAGAGACACACACAGGCTACTTACTTAAATACACACAATAGAAGGAGGAGAAAAGAAGCGCACAGCCAATGGAGAACTCACTTGTATTATACAGTGGGCAGAAGTACTGTCCGCAAAACAGAAGAAGCAGGAGTGGGGGTCGGTAATGTAACGCAATTGCTATCATGTTACGAGCCACCTTTCATCCACCTTGAGGCTATTCTTCGCCGCCAAGATGGAGCAGAGCCGGCAACGCGGACGCCGCAGGATGGCGTAGCGCGGCGCAGACCCAGAGCCAGGAGAAGACGGGGCAACGCCTGGGCAATTCGAGAAGGCGGCCACGGAGAGTGAGCGGTTACACGCGTGGCACCGGTGCAGAGGTCCGAAAGGTTCCGTCACGGTGTCAAGCGGCATGATGGAACATGGGCCGAAGACGTCCGTCTCAGACGACTTGCCTTGCTCACGATGGGCGGAAATATATCGTCGGCATTGTCGCATGAGACAGTTATATCCAGCATCGTCCTTCGGGATCCATCCGTTGCGGTCGAAATGGGGGTAGAGGACGCCGATGAGTAGAATGTCTTTCGCGGCGTACTGTAGGAGTTGTTCAGTGAGCGGGCGGCGAAGCCACATATCGCAGCCCCGGTTCTTGTGCATGGATATAACTTGAGCTGTGCGATACTTATGAATGGACAGAATATAGAGCATAGAAAGTGCGGACTCACGATCTTTGCCGACCTCACGTGCGTAGCCACAGTCAACCCAACACCTCTGCAGCCCAATAACCGCGTGCAAATCTTGCAGTTGCTCCGACCTTTTGGCTAGCTGCTGTGAGATGTAGGAACGTCCAAGCCGCTCTAGTCGATCTTTGTCTCCTTCACCTCGCACGATCTGCCTCGACGCCACTTCTGCTACTTGAAGATCCAATACTCCCTCCAGTGCGACACCAAAACTCGTGATAATTTCGAGAAAGTCCATCCGTCCATCCCAAACGACCTTGAGCAGGGTCGGATCGCATAACAGATGGAGCAGATAATAGATGTCTCTGCCAGTAATGAGGGGGCTGAGGAGGTCGAAGAGAAAGATATGCTCTGCGAACGGTGTGCCGACACATATGAGCGTAACGCAACCACCGGCTCTACCGAGGTTGTAACCTTCGCAATCGAGTATCAGGTAGGGTGCAGTACGCAGCACCCATACTGCTGATGCATAAGTGGCGGGACTGTCACAATAGACATACTTCAGGGGGACGGGAGTGGAAGGGATGGTCTGGGGATGAGGAGCAGGCATATAGAACAGAAGAGGACACAAAAGTCGGATAGATAGTAGACCGTTCAATCAGAGCAGAGTGATAGATGCAGCATTTTCACCGTTTGAGAAATAGGGGAGCAATCTGCAGGTAGATGTCAGCGACAGCTCACAGCGTCAGCAGAGGGGGGATACGCACTGGTCGAGAGAGTATAAAACACCCCGGGAAATGAATTCAATATACGCGTTGGCTGTCAAAGAGTGAGACAGTGGCTGATTGGTGATGCGGGTCCGAAGGATGGAGTATAGAGCAAGAGTGGCCGGAGAGCTAACTTAGACTCGCCTGTCCCAGTCACCATGAGCGTCTGATACACTCATTCCGATTAAGTCATATTAGGCGCCAAAAGTACGAGACTGGGTACGCGAGTCTGGCCCGCTCCGGGGGAGTAGGCAGCAACATCCAAAGGTCCATCAACTCCGTCATTTCTCAAGGTGAGCACAGAATTATGCTTGGACGTCGTACAGGAGGGCAATATCAGATTGGTGGAATGCAAAGGAGTGGGATTTTGGTGGAATTTGAGGTGGATCGCGGTTCTGGAGAGTGGATGACAGTCGGTTAAGACGGATGGCGCTATGCTCCTAATCGACGCTTCTCGGGTCCCTCTGTGCAAGATCACTTACAGCCTGCTTTGTACGGCCGTTTGATTGCAGATGGTGCGTCCAAACCAGCTCAATAAATACAAGTGTTCACGGCTAACCGCTCCTATGAGCGTAGAAGGTCGAGATCGACTCGTTCTCCGGATTCCGGATTTACGCCTCGAAGGGTCGCCTCTTCGTTCGTGGCGATAGCAAGGTGCAACATCAAAGGGGTCGCTGTTAAAATCCATATTTACGCGGTCTTGTTACAGATATTCCGGTTCTCCACCTCCAAGACTGAGTCGCTCTTTTTGCAACGAAAGAACCCGCGCAAGATCGCCTGGACACAGGTGTACCGGCGCATGCACAAGAAAGGTATTACAGAAGAAGTCGCCAAGAAGCGGTCACGCAAGACAGTGAAGCACCAGCGTGGGATTGTCGGTGCCGACCTTGCTGCCATCGCTGCCCGCCGGAACCAGTCTGCTCAGGCCCGGGCTGCCCAGCGCACGTCTGCTATCCAGAAGGCTAAGGCTGAGAAGAAGGCCAAGGAGGAAAAGAAGGAGAAGACGAAGGTGCGTCTGTAGCGTTCTTGTGTTATTGAATGCATATCTTACTTGTTAATAGGCCCCCAAGGCACCCGTTGCGTCCGGTCCCAAAGTCTCGAAGGCGCAGATGAAGGGTTCCAAGAGCGGTCGTTAAGCCGCCTCTCTGCTTTCGGTTGTTGTTGTATGATTTTATGCTATCGACTTCGTTTATGATGCACAAAATGTATGGGTCTGCACGCACATCCCCCGCAGTTCCTGATATCAACGTTCGCGTGAACGGATCCCTGGGGAGCCTCGGGACGAGGCGTTGCCGATAGCATGCAAACTCGCGCAGTGCGGCGGAATTGCGATTTGTATCCATTGTAGGTTCTGGTGTAAGATCTTTGTGCGGAGAGGATATTCATGTATTGTGCAACTATTTTGTCATGACGGTATGGTGGGCTTTGTAGCCCTCGCTAACCTCGGAACTCTTACCTTCTGGAGCAGGTACTGGTCCGACAATATGAAATTGTTGAAGTACTGTTCCGAATGTTCAATCGTGAGTGCACGTATCTATTACTGAATCTACTAATCTATTTCTAGGGATTTGTTTGCGGCGGAAAAGACTCGGTCGAACAGAAGTCCCCGACCGCGATACGCTCATCCCGAAATTCTCTGATCTTTCATCCGAACTCCAGCCTGCTCGCATAGTCTTCACTCCATCTCATAAGATTCCCGGGTATTCCCTATACAAGCTAGGTCCGCCAAGATACTTGCCCTTTGGAGTGGCGGCAGGCGGCACCAAGATCCGGATAAATGAACCCCAAATCACGGACAAGCTACGTCAAATCCTCCAGACAACGACGCATGCATAGACTAGACCTTACGACCGGTAAGGGTGGACGGCCTCGATGGACTGGAAAAGTGCAGCAGCACTGTACGTGTTGCAGGGCGGCAGATGCTGCGGTCGTTGGCGAAGCCACAGCTCAAGCCGAAGTTGTACGCGCACTCATATTCAGGGAAACTGCACTTCCGGCGTTCCGCAAGCCGTGCTGCCGTTCTTGGCTGAGGCTCGTGTCTCGGCGATTTGACCATCGAGGGGGCCGATTGACGACCATGCGATCGTCTATGGCCCAGGGTATGGCGTCACTCTCGGAGCAGGAAGCGAGTCTTTATGTGTCCGTGGCTAAGCTAACATTCTAATTTAGTTTGGGCCCTATACACCAAAATTGGTGGGAAAGATGCAAAGTATTGCTCGGTCGACTCTAGCGGGGTGATCGGTGGTGTCTCTATCCAAGCTGGCGCTCGGCTAGGCATTACGCGAGGCGAAGACGATGTTAAATACGCGGCAGTGGGACTTTATAACATTGCTCAACGTGATCGGCCAGCTACGGGTCAAGAGCGACAAGATTTATCCTGAATGGCAAAGACTAGGGAATACTTGCGCAACTTTGAGCTGCGAAAACTCAGGTGGTCGAAAACATGCGGCTCTCGCGCAAGCGAGCCTGGCGATGCGGGGGACTGGACAACAGTTCATGTTCAGAGGCTACATAGTACAGACCAGATGTCCCAGTACCCGCTCTGCGTGCATGCTATTTTTTTTCGTCATGCTTACTAGTAGTCGAGTAGTCGGTCCTCCGGATATTGGCCGCGAATCAATGTCCTCCATGCCCTCGCTCTTCCCTGCTGCTTCTTTTCGGCACATGTGATGCCTCAGCATGCCCTCTCCCATGGCGACCCAGTCATCGGACGGCTTACCCTCGGGCATTCAGTTCTTGCGCGCACCGGCTATGCTTCGTTTACGCCATGGAAGCGTGTCGTGGCTAGATTTAAAGGTCGCATGGACGGACGCAATGTGCCACTGTCTCAGCAGCTCTGGCGGACGTGAGCGATGGTCAACTTTACCATTCTGGCTGGAGGGTACACCTCCTTCGTCGTGTCTTACCTCTTCAATTCGGACGCGTCGACCTTAACTGTCCTGAACCAGTCACCCACTGGTGCGAACCCTTCGTGGATCTCGCTCCACCCTACCAACAAGAGCATTCTCTAGTAAGTACCTACGTATGCAAGGCCGGAAATCGCTCGTTTGAGCTCATTCACTTTCTAGCGCGACGAATGAGGATGAGCCAGGCGCACTCCAGTCATTCACCATTGGATCGCAGGGTGTTCTGGACCTCATTGACACTGTGCCCTCAGGCGGCGACGCTCCCGCGTTCACCACAGCACTGAACAACGGCCAAGTAGCCATCATGAATGTACGTATCCTTTTGCTCGCTTTTTCGCGCGAAACATAGCTTACACATACTCGCCACAGTACAACACCGGCAATGGCAAGATCATTCCTACGACGTCTGACCCCTTGCACTTTACGACGGACGCTCCGCTCATCACCTTCCCGTCAGTGAACCAGTCGCACCCACACATGGCGCTGCAGCACGACTCAGAGGTGTTCATCCCGGACCTCGGCGCGGACAAGGTTTGGCGGCTCGTCGAGGACGGGGCGCCGGGCAACTGGAAGATCCAGGGCTTCATTCAGCAGCCCACCGGCAGTGGACCACGGCACATTGCGACGCGCGGTATGTATCCCTTACAGAGAATTCAGCCCATCCCTTGTCTGACGCTCGCACAGGCGACACGCTCTACGTGCTGCACGAACTCTCGAGCACGCTCACGCAGCAGCTCATCCCCGCGCCGCCGAACGGCACGACGCCGCTCATCGCAAACGCGAGCATCCTGCCGCCGACGTTCCCTGCGGGAAGCGATTTCCACGCGGCCGAGCTGCTGCTCACGGAACCCACGGCCAGCTTCCCGCAGCCGCTCGCGTACGCGTCGAACCGCAACACGGGCAACGTCGACCCGCGCGGGGACACGATCGCGATCTTCGCGCTCGAACCGCAGCTCACGCTCCTCACCCAGGTCTACACTGGCCTCGACCAGGTCCGCGGCATGCGGCTCTTCGGGCCCGAGAACGAGTTCCTCATCGCCGCTGGCGTCGCCGGCAGCGCGGGCACCAAGGTCTTCAAGCGCGTCAACGGCGGGCAGGACCTCGAGCTTGTCGTGACGAACACAGACATCACGCAGCGGAGCAGCTTCGTGTGGCTCGACTAAACAGCCCCTGCGTACTGCTGGAGCTTTGTATGCACTTGAGGTGTTGAAATCTATCTATTGACAGATGCACATCGCGCTTCTGACCAAAACTTAAGACGACGGTCGACCAGGTCTCGTGTAAGAAAGTGACAATGTGCGCAATAAGATGCAAGCTTGGGGATGAGAGGTGGTAGTACAATCTGCTACGACGCGACGTCATATGGGGACAAATATACGGCCCAAAGAGAGTAGGACAAAAGGAAGGATGAAGCCGTGGAGATGCACGAGATGCCAGGAGATCGGAGAGGGACAAGTACAATGCGCGAGAAAGAGGACGGAGAAGAATGTACGAGAAGCAAGGGAAACAGTGCACGTGGTAACGATGGGGCAAGCCGGTGCGTCGGCTTGGAGTTGGGCGCGAGCTGCTGACTCACTTCAAGCTAAGACGCGATAGACGCTGTACAAGGTCAAGGTCTCAGTCCGCGTGAGATCCGTAGGTGGGCGGCGCTGGCGACGCTAACGTCCGGGTGGACAGCCGTAGGCACGAGCAAGCGATGTATGACCGATCTGCAGCGCAATGGGTTGTGAGCGAGTACTAGGGCGGGTATGCGGTATCTGCGGGTAATAGTACATGGGGCCGGCGGTGGCTTGTAAGGCCTATCGTGGTATTAGATGATGTGTGCGAGTATGCCGTGTTGCGAGGGAATCCAAGAGAAGAAGACCAAGGGAATCGTTCATTGTAGCATTTGGATTTGCGCGATAAGGAATTGCTTCTCGTCCTGTGTGGCGCAGATGGGCCGCGATTAGACTCAGATAATCCACAGGGCTGTGCAGAATGCTGCCGTTACGTACCGCGAATTGCTCGTCTGAGGGAAGCCGGGCGCGCGGGGGAGCGCAAAGCGTAAGTATAAGCTTCACATTCGAATTAGATGAAGTCATTGCTTACCCTCCTTGTCGTTGTGGAAGTTCTTCAGGAACATGAGTAGCTTTTCCTTGTTCCGCCTCAAGATGCTTTCGATCTGTGGCGGCTTCTTCGGGTTCGCCACGAACACCTGACAGACGCAACCACACAGTACCGTGTCAGTCAAGCCGCCACGATGCACGAGGGCCGGACCGACCTTGAAGACGTGGAATGCCTCGAACTGAATGTTCTTGCTCTTGTCCCGCAAGAGGTTCATCATCATCTTCAAGTTCGCTTCATTTGCGATATACCGCGTCATAACGCTGAAATTAGCCCGATCGAGCAGGATCTCGCCGAGCAGCTTTAGCGATTGTCGCTTGGTGACGTAGTTTGAGGACATGATGAGCTGTGTGTAGGACGCGAAAAACTGCGAGCAGGTTCAGCACGCCATGAAAGAGGCGAGAGATAAACTAGGCTTACTCGGTCGTAGTTCTTGTCTAGATAGTCCGCGACCATCGGCTTGTGGCGCGTCAGCGTCTCTTTGAGATTGTTGTATGCGTCGCACGAAATGCCGAATGTTGTCGTTTCGATGTAATGCGGAAACATGTACAATCTGATGGATGTATCAGTACATGCTACGAGGGGTACATGCCAGGGGTGACTCACTGTTCCGAGTGCAGCAGCATCTTCGCCAGCGACTCATGCCGAAGCATCTCCTTGAGGATCATACCGGTATTGAGAGCGATGTCCTCGTTCTCGTAGCCCTTGAAAGCAGCAAAGAGAATATCCGGTTTTCCATTGAGATATTCGACTGTAGGGAACCGTGAACCGATCTGTCTTCGTAGTAGGCTGTTGAAGATCTGGACAACATCTTTCCGCGACTCAAAGTCCAGTCGGTGGATGTTCAGTAGTATGTGGTGCAGCAGATCCGTTGCATATGCTTCCTGGGAGAGCTGCGCAATAAGTTCCGGCGTCGGTTCTAGAGGGGAATGCGGCAGTCAGCTTCTGGAGCAAGGCGAATCATTGAACCTAAAGCTTCGGTCTGCGTGGCGATAAGATGCCGTTTGACGACGAGCACGCGTACAAAGCAATCGGCGAGAAGCGTGGGTCACCATGGACACCAGAAAGGATTTGCTATATGCATTATCGGGATATGTACAACGCGAATACTCACCGCCATCGCCGTTGAGCATGCTCTTCATCTGCTGGAGACTCTTGGCGACATCATCGTTAGCCTGCATGAGGGAATTCATCGTGGGTGAGATAACAATGACGCGGTCACAGCACGAGCACGTACTTTTCTGCGCTGCTCACTTCCGGGAACAGTCGACTCAAGTCTCGGAAGGGTGTCTCTGAGACCGCGGACGAGATCAGGCGGTGTACGAGGTTTGGTCTTGAAGAAGTTCATGTCACACTGCGTGCCGTCGCAGTTCGTTCTCTAAGGGGCTCGCTGTGGAGCAGAAGTTTGTGTGACTGTAAGACGGGGACTGGCAAGGGAGGCACTGCAGCTAAGTACAGCTGTCTGTGGTGATCTGGCGCTGCGAGAGCTATGCAGTCTCACTCCTGTTCGCGACGGTCGCAGCAAGGGGACGTGTGGGATGATGTGGGGGTGGCTGGAGAAGACCGTGGGCGGAGAGGGAGACGTTCAGGGCAAAGAAGTGCAGTGAACGATTGAGCGGCAGATTCCAAGCACACAACCTGAATACCGCGCTTGCTGCCTTTTATGGTATGTTTCGATCGGCTGTCGGCCGCCCAAAGCACACATTGTCAGGAACACTGCTTGGGAAAGCGTCGACCGAATTGACTCGGCTGGAACCATGTCAGACATAAGCCCCAAAGTGTGTGGAGACAAATACGAAATAGAACACGCGTCAGCTTACGGACCTTGACGTCGCCTCACAATTCAAAGCTCAGTGTTCTTTGGCGAGTGTTGTCTGTCAGGCATGACCATAGTATGACCACATGTACAGCATAAAAAACGCGCAATTTATAGCTTTTTATACACAAAAGCTTCAAAAAGTGCACTCGACTATGGCTAGATAGAGAGAGCAAAATGATGAGTCGACCCAGGCTCGAACTGAGGACCTTCTGTGTGTTAGACAGATGCGATAACCAACTACGCCATCGACCCGTTTGTCCTTCTCAATTCGATAGTGATAAACAATGTGCCCGCCTCAGCCCTCTGTAAACCTGTGTCGTTCAGCATCTTTGCTGGGCAGTAGAGGCCCAGAAGAATAAAGTTTTACAGCTGTCGTGAACAGTGGCCGAGTCGAAGCCCAAATGATGCCACCGCGGGCGCCTTCTGGATAGGGAAAGGGCCGCGTATGATCATGAGGGGATAAGCTGAGGTGTAGGCGGAAATGAAACAATTCTGCATCAGTTTCTATTAGACTCGCCGGTCGTTGCGGAAGCCACGGGCGTCTTGCAATCGGCGAGACACGACGCGAGCTTGTGTTTCGCAGGAAACCTGCCCAGCAACTGAGATGTTCCAAGTGCTCACTGCGCGACCAAGGCCCTGGCAGGCCAGGCCGGTCGCACGATGGATAGACAGGGTAGACAAAGTTCAACAGTCACCGTTGGTCGCCGAGGTGGCGAACAACAGCGGTTTCCGTAAACGGGACACGGCGGATGCCGGGAGAAGCTAAGCCCATGTCGGCGCCGGCGGCCCGGCACGGAGTTTGCGGCTGTACGATATCGGACGCCAGAAAAGGCAAGAGACTGGATGATGAAGTCGCCAGAGCTGTCATCCGCGACTGCCTTTCCTTCATTAAGAACAGGCCCAGACCCACCTGTTTTCCTGACAACCGCCTGGGGGCAGCTCTATATAACCATCCGTATCCTTTTGCCTACTCCATCCGTTCTGTCGTGCCTCGGACCAGGTTTTTCGTGCTCTACACTACACTACTGCGACCACATAGCTGGCCCGACATTTGCCAGAAACTCAGCGGAACGAATTCTAGTATGTCAGCCTCACTACAGTGTGGTAAACGAACCTGACATGTTGCTCTTCATTGTAGAACACCCGAGCTCTAATGTCACTCACACTAACCTCACTGCCGGAGGAGATTCTTGAGCGAATCTTTTCATTCGTGCTGGAACCCAGAACATCATCTCCGGATGTTTCGCCTGTTGTTCTCAAGACGTCGTTCACACGATCCCATTCAGCTCCATTTCCTTCTAGTGCCAGCCGCGGTTCTGCAACCAGTAATAAGATTCGACCTGCTGACTTTCCGGCCTTCTCTCGGCCTCCTGTGCACCGGTACACACCTCTACTGACCTGCACGCTCTTCACCCGCATTGGCGAGCCTCTTCTGTACTTCTTTATCCACGTCAAATCTCGCGCACAGTGTTCCCAGCTGGTCTACACGTTGCGCGGGCGTCCGGACCTCGCCCGCTGCGTCCGCGCGCTCAGTATCGATGGTTTATGGGGCGACAGCAATCCACTTCTCCGCGCGTTGCGTGTCCGCGGCATGCGGCTTGAACGCTTCGACTTCTGCATCACTAGTGACCACAATGCTCCGCGCGAGAGCACGTCTGAGCTCGATATGTTCTGCGACACGCTGAGCATGCTGCCCCTCTTCGGCACAGTCAAGCATCTGACGGTGCGCAAGGCTGCGAACGCCTACCTTGCGCTGCCTGCCCCGAACAGCACGCTCGAGTGCCTGAGCAGGGTCATCCCGGAATGGCGATCGCTGGTACGTTCTCGTCCAAGCGCCGGCCACCACGCCTCTGACCTGACCGCACCAGGAATCCGTCAAGATCGGCTTCCGGCTCCCCTCCGGGCCCCGCAGCGACGCGTCTCCCGCACCCGCGCCTGCGAGCGACATGTCCGGCGTGCGCCACTTCGTCGCTGCTCTTGCATGCGCGCCCGCCCTCCGCGTCGTGCACGCCGAGCTCCCGGCGGTATGGAACACCGCGCTGCTCGCGATCGCGGGCAACCCGGCGCTGCGCGCGATCCGCCTCAGCCCCGCGCCGTCCGCCGCAGGCGCGCACGCCTTCCTCGCCGAGGCACGCAGGCACGCCCGTCTCGCGGAGCTCATCGAGCGCGGCACGCCGACGCCTGCGCCTGCCGCGCGCACCGGGCGGGCGCTGTCGCGCGTGGAGCACGCTGGTACGCCGTCGCGCTCGGGCTCGCGTGGACGTACGCGCGCGAACACGACTGTCGGTGTGGGCACACCGAGCGTCGTCTTCCCCAGCGCGCCTGTGCCGCCCCCTGCGCCGGCTGCCTCCCCTTCCAGCGCCTCCGTATCGTCCAACCCAACGGGTGGACCAAGCAGGCGGTCCTCGCAGCGACGCACCGGCCGCCGACAGTCAAAGGCAAGCCGTCGCATAAGCGCCGTCTGAGTCTCACGATGCCTGTTTCCGTCCGACCTTCTCTCGTTCTTTTCTTCCTTAGTTCTCGTCTCGTGTCTTCGTTTTATATCGTATATTCCCCACATCTTCGTCGTCTCCGCTTCTTGTACACAAGTATATTGTCAAGTTCTTAATCAATATTAATGTACGTGTTCTCCTCGGGCACCTCTTTGTCGCGTCGCACGCCTGCGATAATGCATGTCACAATGGCATCGGTTGCACGCCATACACAATGACACGCCGCGGCGAGCATCGCGTATACTCAACCACTAAGCTCCACCATAGGGCGCGTATACCAGCCGTCCATACAGAGGAGCCGTCTAGACGCGACTTTTCGCGTCGCCGTTGAGACAAAGACGCACTCTCATTGGCCAGTGCTCTCACAAGGCGCCTCTCACGGGGCGCTGCACGCCCACCGAAGGTTGGCGGCGGGCGGCGCGTTCTTCTCGTCTCTCATTCGATTTCTCTTCTCAATTCTCTCCGCCCGTGAGTAGCACGGTCCACCGATTAACTCGTTAATTGTATATTGGCAACATTTTTTTTTTTGGCAAAAATACTCGTCCAAGGAATAGCTCCCTGGCGGGGAGTCGAACCCCGCTTTCGCGCGCACCTTCAGCGGATGACAGGCGCGTGTACTAACCGATATACTACCAGGGATACTTGGTGCATCTTCACAACTTCCTATGAGTACACCACTTCTCAGCGCTCTCGAAAAAAAAACCAGAACCCGGGACACGAAAGAAGTTACGTCCCAGATAGAATATCCATATTTAACACCGATTATCTACAACACAGCCGCGAAACGACTAAGACCACATTAATACTGCTACACTCGAAAGTGCGTACAGAGAGAGATTTGAATAACAAAGGTGACAGCTGGCAGAAAGTTCAAACGATGGTGACGGCGAAAGGAGGGGTGTCATTTCAAGTTTTAGTCCAGAGTGTTCAAGTCCAGGGTTCAATCACGGCAGAAGTTCGTCTTTGGACCCCGCGCGGTCGGCGAAGAACCTCGAGACCGACTTGCGCTTGGTGGCCTGCTGTACCAGAGAATTTTTGGAGACGCCAGAGCCAGGCACGAGAGCACATCCATCCTCCGCGTCGTTGACGGCCCAACCCGACGAGCAGCTCTGGACGGCGCAGCCACCTTGGGCGCAGGTGACGGAGTCGACACCCTGAATGGCTGTGCAGTCACGGCCAACGGGAGCAGAGGCGTTGTTGGGCGCGAAGGGGCTCGGAGCCATGCAGCCTCCGCCTGAAGCGCTATAAGACTCATGCAGAGGATGGTGTATAAAATGACGTACAGCTCTCCAGGTCATTGCGTGTGTCGACGCACTCGAATGCGGTGCTGTCGGTGCTACCGTATACGCCGCAAACCTGAAAGACATCAAGCGGTCATTATTGAGAGCACCAGAGAATCACAAGACTGTCAAAACGTACGCTCTCATGGGGCTTGCATGAAGCCTGCGCCCGGTTCAGGAGCGAGTCAGCGCGAGCAGCGAGAGTGCGAGGAATTGCCGAGCCACAAGTCTACGAGGATTCGACGATCAGCGGTTTGAACTGTAAAACAGCCGACGCGTACGTACCGAACCCGGGGGGAGGCACTTGCCGTTGCAACTGACGTAGGGCGGAGCGCAAACGCACTGGTTGCCCTGTTTGACGTACGGAGGGTGGCACTGGAAGCCACAAGGTTCGCTGGAGGAGCAAACGGGATCGCAGTTGTCGGGGTATGTGCAGTGCTGCGAGTTCGGGCCGGTGTTGATCTACGAAGGCACGGTTAGCTAGGCCCTGAGGTCTCACTGACATGCTTACCAGCAGGCTCAGAACAGCGTTGATCAGAGCCGATCCGTACTTGTCGCCGAGGACCTTGAGCTGGGCGTTCGCGCTGAGGTCAAGGGGCAACGCCGAGAGACAAAGACAGATGTTGAGGTCGACAAGTTCGCTGAGGGGAATGCCAAGGAGGCTGCCTCCAAGCCCGATGTCGGCGTCAAGGTAGACACAGACGTCGAGCAGAGCACGGCGCTCGTGGTGCTGGCGGAGCGTGAGAGCATTGCGCGCCGCTGGGATCTCGGCGGTCGGCGTGGCGTACTTTCGGGCGAGCTTGGCTGAGACGGGCAGCACCGAAGAGAGGGAGAGGAGCTGCGAGGCGGCGAGAGCGAAAATGAAGGTGAAAGAACGCATGGCGGGCCGACCCAGAGAACGTCGCGGGCGAGGGAGAAGGACGAAGGGAGGGAAGGTGGGCAGAAAATAGGAGACGCGCTCGATTTTATACCGCTGGCTGTCGAGAAGTACTGTCCCAAACGCCAAAGTTTAGCTCGCATGGACGTTGGACCCAGACAGATCGGACGGCAGACGAGTGAGACAGTAAAATAGACGTCAACGATTGCCATATGCGGAATACGTGTTCCCAGAATTGGGAGAGGGCCGACCGCTTCGGAATATTAAGGGGTTGATGCCATGGCGACAACTGCTTTATACGGCATTGTGCAGGCAGTCCCGATGTTCATGTCCGCTCGAGAGGCGCACAGATGCGGCAAGGTGAAACGCATGAAAATCTTTGCCGGCCTCTGGCATTCTCTGGGACGCGACAAACGGGCTTCTAGCTTCAGTCGGCGCGGTCTGCAACACGGACGACCACATGCAGGCAAGACATGCGACGGTGAGTAGAGCCAACGCTCACCAAGGACTGCAGTCTCCTACCTGCCGAATAGCCCTTGGAAGCAGAGCGGTCAGTCGAGAGCTCTCGGCACAGGGTCGGGTGCCTCCCCGCGCACCACAGCGAAAGATACTTAATGGGCTGATCTGCGGGATTCGAAGCTGCCATCCGTGACAGCGCAAGGTAATTTCCTAGAACGCCGCCCGCCATGAAAGTTCACCCACCGAATTAAACCACTTATAGCTCCATGCTTGAAGCTCCTGAGGCACGGTGTCCTCGGAGTCGGGCTTCAGCGCGCAGAGGCGAAGGAGCGGCCATTGGACGGCGAGTGGACTATGCTATCAGAATGTCGACGAAGGAGGGCCATCCGCATCTTATGCGAGGGTTGATCGTCGCGTGGCAGGCTCTCTCTTCTCCCACAGCCGCGAAGGCGCGTGCAGAGTTGGCGGTGACTAGTGTGGGGCGACTCGAGTACCGACGGAATCCTCAGCCATCCCAGGCTATGCAGCCGAGTCCAGAGAACACAGAACGGAGGAGTTGCCAGCTAGACAAAAGCTAAAGTGTGGGGTTGGGGCAGCCAGTTCTATGGAGATCAGAACGGCGTGAGCATTGAAGCAGAGCAATTTGTAGGGTGTGACCAGCGGAGCGCCACATAGCGCGGAATGGACGTCGTCGAAGCGAAACGGCATGTCAGCATGATTCGGCATCGGCCGCCGTGACATAATCCTTCAGTGTCTGGAACAAGTCGATCGTCGCAAGATAACCATGCCACCTGCGGCCTAAAGTGGTCGGAAGCGTCAGTACACACCTAGATGGAAACTTTCGCGGACCCCGGAGAGGATACTAGGACATCTCTCCACCCAGAAACCATACAGCTCTCTCGCATTGACCGGTTTATTCGTGACTTTTCGACATCCCTGGCCCTGTTCGAACAACACGTTGTCCGTCCAGAACAGATCATCACGGCATAAATAGTCCAAGCCTCAGGACCAAGCACACATTCTGAGCTCGACGGGATTCACGACTCATTTTCGGTCGTGCGTGAGCTCTCCTTGATGGCCCGTCTTTGTGGCAGGAAAGTCCGCATGCACGCAGTCGCCCCTGTGTGCGAATATAAAAATCGAGGTGCCTCACACCTGGGCTCGCGGATAGTCACTTCAGACACATCTTGCATGACGCGACTGAGGCCGGGCTTCGCCATCCGCGCCGCCGCCATCAGGTCAACGTTCAACAGGTATCATCGCCGCCTCTCTCATTGCCGCCTTCAATGTTAAGCCGCTCTGACTCGCCGCAGCATCGCACAGACGCAGCAACATTATCCCGGGGCGATGCACACGAACGAGCTGAAGGCATCATTCTAGGGCGTTGTTGTCGTTGCCAAGGTCGGGGATGCCGGGGTACTCGATAGTGACATGGCCTTTGTCGGACGCACAGCTATAGTTACTGCCAAAGATCCAGGAATTTCAGCGCAAAATGGCCACAGCGCATAGAGCGAGACGGAACGCACACAAAGAGGAAGCAGTCCCAGCCCTTTTGCGGGCCAACGCTCGAGGTGTCGTCCTGGATCTCGGTCGGAGAGCTGCCGCACAGGCCATTATAGAAGCCGATGTTCTCGCAGATACGGGCGAGACATCCCATGAGATAGGACCCGCAGCCAGCGAGATAGAGAGCCCCTTGGCTCAAACTTGCTGCTCATAACGCGGCAGGGAGTCGAAAACGGTGTTGGGGGCGAGGGTGGGCGCTAAGCGGCACGCGGTGTGAGGTGTATGTTCACGTCGAATTATTGACACTTCGCTGCTGATCTTGGGTGGCAGGGTCCCAGGATATGGGAGGTAGATGCACAACCGGTGCGCTCTGCGAGGTTCGAGACGGCTTTGGTGGCGGCCGCTCGAGATGACTCGGACACGCTCTCGAGTGTCATCGGCAAGCGGGGACATGCAGCTCTTACCGGTGGGGCAACGATAACGGCGCTCGCCTCTGACAAAAATGAGACAAGCCAGTTGACTATGCTGTGCGAACTGACAGATTTGAAGTCCCCATCCAGTCCTCGAGCCCCTGCTCTCGCTCGTGTCGCAGGCTCAAGCGAGATCGTTCAGCTCGCGCCTGGCACAGGTGCCGTTAGACCGGCCGACGCGCAGATTTCTCCGTCCCATACGGAGAAAGCTCCAGGCATGGCGGAACCGCGGCCGCGTATGGCCGGCGTTGGCGGATGTGTTCTGCTGTACCGCGATGAACTGCACCCGCGCCGTTTCAAGGTCCTCCCCAACCTGCATAAGCACTGCCCGAAGAATAGACTTGCGACATTTGGATAGAATATTTCAGGTTGGTGAGCCCGTGCGGAGGCGTGTGATTGTAAGAGATAGCAAGCCTAGGAGAGGGTGTGAGCGACCCTTGCGAATGTGAGTTGCCCACGAGATACCGTGGGAAAAGGACGCCACGAAGTCTGAGTAAACAGAGACAAACAGCCTCGGACACACGTCGGGTTCGGCCACATACCGAGCTCACGCACCACCAGCACGTCGCAGGACATCGAGCAAAGCAGCCGCCAGCTCCAGCACTCGGCGTCTGGCAACCGTCTTGTGGTTTGCTCGCTGTGCAACTCGACTGATACACTCAAGATTAGCTGGTGGCACCCCGGTCGGAACGCACTGAGCTTGTGGTCAATTTCACCTGTGGATGCCAGGCCATGTAGTCCATGCCTCACGCCAAAATTGCCAGGCTTGAGCTCCTATTAATATGTGATTTATACGACGATGTGAGCTTGATCTCGGTTTATTACGCTCTAACGGTCATGGAAGCCTGATAACGGAGGCATTACCAGCCTTGAGCACTGTTTGGAGCACCCAGCGAGGGCGCGTTCACGCCCCGATTTCTAGGCCTTACCTCGGTTGTATCATGAACACCATCACTATCGGACGAAGAGGCCGCAAGCACAACTTGCCTCGGCGCTTGCAGACCTTTGTGTATTGCAATGATGCCTGACCCCGGTATGGTGTCTTAGCTTGCCTTGCTCTGGACGTGATCTTGTCACTTAAAGTCCTAGACATCCTATCAGGCGCATTGTATCTCTGTCCAGCTAGGTTATGACGCTGTAACCTGAACTCAAGGCTCATACATGCGCAATTGTTCACATCATGCCAACATCGCGCACCCAGGGATTTCAGCTCTGAGCTCGACGCCGCCGCTACGGGGAAGGGCTGCCGGTGGCTAAAGACATCTGTAGAACACTCATGCCGACCTTGTGCCAATGTTTGGTGGACCGCTCTGCTCGTCAACACATGTCGCGTTCACTGCGATATAAAAGTCCAGCTATATTGCGCCTGCTGACTACCAGAACCAGCACTCGTGCTCCTTTACAGCATAACATCCTCTGCCATATCGCGGCATGCAGCTCAAAGCAGGCCTTGTTATTCTGGCTACTGCCCTGGGCTTTGCAGGCACCGCAGCGGCGTCACCTATTACCTTCGAGGTCTGTCAAATCTTCCTACGCCGAGCTTCATGCTGACCCCATCCTCCCTCAGGCTCGGGAAACTGCCGTGGACGACTATCTCTACGTCTGCACGGACGTCGACTGGTCCGGCGATATGCCAG